TCTCTCTCTCTCTCTCTCTCTCTCTCTCTCTCTCTCTATCCTTTTGTGTGTCTCTTTATGTACCTCTTTGGTTTTTGTTGTGTTAGTGAAAGTCTGAGTATTTAGAATTGATTGGTAGCTATGGTTTGAAGACTCTTGGAGTTTTATCTGATAAAAATAGTTTCTTGATTGAAATTGTAGCTTGGGTTGTATGTTTTGGGGAAATTTTCACTTTTTAGAATTGATTGGTAGCTAGGGTTTTAGGATTTTTGGAGTTTTTTTTTTCTTTCCCTAATGGAAGAGGTCTTGATTGGATTGGTAGCTGGCATTGTAGAATTCTTTGCTTTTGTTCGCCCGGATTCATTGGGGAAATTTAAGCGGGTGTGTATGTTTTGCAATTCAGTTATGCTGAAAAATGATTAGGTTCCCGGAAGTTTCAGTTTTTTTAGTTCGGATTTTGGATTTCCATTCTTTAGTTTGTAGTTTGGATTTCTTCTTTTGGGTTTGGACTTTGGATTTATGTCGAGGGATCATTTTGTGGAAGTATACTTCCGTTATTAACATATGTGTCTATAGAAGTCAGGGTCAAGCATATTTTCATGGTACACAGTTTTCAACTGCTTTTTTTTTATCAAATGTGTGAGAGTGCAGTTTTAATAGGCCATGAATTTTGGAGGATAGTGCATGACATAGAGCTCCTTAATTAGTGTGCAACGACTATAGGTTGCAGGTTGAACCAAATAATCATGTTTGTAGAAGACATTAATCTGTGGCAGCAAGGTGAAAGTTTGGAGCATAGTGGCAGTCAAAATGTGTCTAAATAGTTTAAATTCAGTATAAAAAATCTTTCGGTATGACTAGAAAGGAACAGTGAAAATGCATATGATGTGTAGAAAAGCTGGGTTTATGACTTTAATTTCTGGACTTTATGGAGCTTGTAAGCAAGTATGCCTTTTCATATTGAACTTTGGCAGGAACATGATGAGAGAGAGATTCTTTTTTCCTTTTTTCTCTAGGTAAATTGAAAAAATAAAGAATATGGGGAACTCCTCCATGGAGCAGAAATCATTCAATTCCCATATTTTCTCAGTGTAAGCTTTGATATTTGTACTTAATTTCACTGCTTAATACTGTAAGTTCTTTCCTCCTTTCCGGGGAAAATAGGATCTCATTTTGTTGCACTTATGGGTCAAATCTTGTCTTGTGTATTAATTGCTGACTTTAAATGCTTGTCTAGGCTCTTAATAGAAACTTCCAGGGGCTAGCCTACTTTTGTTAAGCATAGCCTACCATATGTTCAGTCTAGTTCTGGAATGCTCTTCTGCATTCTGTGTAAATAACAGGGTCCTAGTTCCTTGGAAGTCATGTTTTCCCTTCTCTGTGGTGCGGATATAGCCTCATGGTCTGTTCATTATCTCACCTACCTCTTTGAAATTTCTTTTTACTACTAGTTCAAATTTTAAACATTCAACTTCAACTGTAATGTCTTTGATTTTAACCTCGAGTGGGTAATATGTCCTCTCATAGATTTTGGGTAGGTGCCTTGTAATGCCACCTATTCAAGAAGCTGCCTGAATGGGTACCAAGTCCAAAATTCGTCCTTCATTTCCATTATTGATTATAAAAAAAAATTTAAAGGGATTATATTTACATATTTTTGGCCCACTCTTGCTTTCCATTTCTTGTTTGACTTCTTGCAGTAATGTCAAGACCTTTACAATTCAATTGTTCAGTATCCATCCTGATTTTAATTCTGCTAAATCAAGAATGATAATCTTGTTTTCCAGTTTACACAGTACCTTTTTATGTATTTGAGTTTCATATATTTTTGTAACTATAGGGTAAGGAGTATATTTCCTACTTACATGTAGTTGGCATTGCATCCCCTGACAATTTCTTCTTTTCATTTTCAAAATGTCTGCAGCCGTTGAGGGATGGATTATTCTGGTCACTGGGGTACATGAGGAAGCCCAAGAGGATCATCTACATAATGCATTTGGTGAATTTGGAGAGATAAAAAATTTGCATTTAAATCTTGATCGCCGCACTGGGTTTGTGAAGGTACGATAGGACTTTCATTTTGTATACTATGGAATTTGGATATGCATTTGTTTTTTTTTTTTTCCAATTATTTATTTTTCTGAATATTGTATCTTATTATTGAAATTTGTAAAACTGGGGTAATAAGTCATTCATCAGTTGTAAAATATGGAGAATAACAGAACAACAGAAAGTAAAGAAAAATTATGGGTGAAATCTGTAACCTTGTGTAGTCCAAGAATGAGATTATCGGAATTTGTATTAAGCATGGAATTTTGAATTGAATGCTAGGAAATATGAGCTGTTGGATTGCCAGCCGTTTAAATTATAAGATTGTAAATTCTCGTATCATATGGTGCATATACTTGTGCATATATGTAAACGTGTATAAGAGGTTAACTCTAAGAAATGAAGCCCAAAATGCCAGATTGGCAATTCTCCTATTTAACGGGGCATATACTATGCACATATGCATTATGCATATATGCGTGTAAGCAATTAACTCTAAGAAGTGAAGCCCAATAGGGCCATGACCTATTTGGACTGTTTAAAAAAGGAAATCAGAAACAGGCATATTCTTTTGAATAAGAAAAGGGTAAGGAGGAAAATTGGAAAGTTGCTTTTTTTTTTTTTTGGGTGTGTGCATATAAAGTAGCCCACATACTAGCTTGTCTCTTGGCCAATTCACTTCATCACTTTTGACTGGTTTCTAGAACATACTCTACAAACCACATCACCTACTTAGATCAATTCTGAAGCTTGATAAAATAAAAAAAAATTGATTTTGCCTTATAGAATCTGGTTGACTCTCATAAGGTAACAGCGTGGATGAGTTTACCTTCTCACCCTGTTCTCAGTTTTGGCACTTGGTATATTGGCCAGAATTGTAACCTAAGTGTAGACTACATAATCTTTTCAGGCTATTAAGTGGTTATTGGCAACTTTGTATGCCCTGTATTATCTACCGAAGCCAATTTCTTGAAATGGAAACCCAAAACACAGAATATCATTTTTGGTTGGAATGTCAACTTCACGAAACATCAACTGACATGAAATGGGAAGAAGATGTTTCTCAAGCAAAAATTGACATGAAATGGAGACTCGTAAAATGGGGATTTTATTTAAGATCAGTACTTTTTTGGTTTATTAATCAGGGGCTTGAGTGAGGTTGTAGGTTCATTCCTCACCAACATGAAAGCTAGAATAATAATGTGTTATCTGCATGGACCTTCCCTTGCTTTGGTTAAGCAACTCAACTGGAAGTTCTTACATCCTAATCACCCGAATGGGCTCAATTATGGAAAATGGTCTTAGGTGGAATGAAGATTTAAAGATGCTGAGTATTGTTGCCAGGATGTTAAATGCATAAATCTATCTGTGATAAATTTCTTCCAGTAAATGGAAAGAATATTGACTTATTTCTGTATCAAAAGATTCACAGCAGTTATCTTTCTCGAGCCACATTCTTTTTGCATCTCATAATGAGCATTTAAACAATCTAATGAATGAACTGTTTGAGCCTAAATTTCTTCATTAAGGTAATTTTTCTTGTTTATTTTTGGAAAAATCAATATTCATACGACAATATGGGAAGATTAGAAAGCTATTTGACAACCTAATGGACTAATAGTTGTTTCTTGCTCTTGATTTGATGATGCATTTGGGAGTAGTTATATCCTTAAAGATAATATTGGATGAGTCTGTCAAATGATGATGCATTAGATATTGTTTTGACTGGTTGAGTCCATCAAAAGTTGATAATTGTTTTTTAGTGACTTATTGTGAATTATTTTTGCTGCTAGGGATATGCACTGATTGAATATGAGAGTTTTGAAGAGGCACAAGCTGCGATATCTGGAATGAATGAAGCTGCATTACTTACACAGATTCTTAATGTTGATTGGGCCTTCAGCAATGGATCCTTCCTTGATGGATCCAGGAAGAAGACCACAAGGTTTTACTTTACACCTAGTTTTCTTGTGAAATTCTTAAGGGATGATTCTTTTCACATAAAAAGAAGTTCTAATTGCATATTGCATATTTAAAGAGATGAATGTGTTTGCCAATAATTAATTCACATTTCGGAGTTCAGAAGAAACCTAGGCCATTTGTGCATTTTTTAACTTTAGGTTATCCATAGACATCCATAAATGTCAGGGGGCAATCCCTAATGAACTAAGGACTTATATGAAACTTCTTGCATCTAGATCACCTCCACACCTCATCCATTTAAAGGTTTTTTTTTTTTTAGTAATTTATCTTTTTGGCCTGTGCTGCAGTGTTTTCATTTAAATTAAATGTGGTGCTCCTTTGATGCGGGCAGCTGTTAATAGAATGGTTTTAGATGGTGGAGAATGTACCACCCCTAGTTACCTCTGCTTCACACTATCAATATATTTGTATATCTCTTTTGTGATTGTCCCTTAAGGTGCGGTCTCTTCCAACCTGGATCCAATGCTTGATGCTGTGAACTTTGATTACAGTAGAACGAGGACTTTTCTGATCCTATAGGGACCTGCTTAAGACCTGTACAATGTCTTCTGTTACTGATCTGTTTAGTCCCGTCAAGATTACTGTTTTATCATATGTACTTAATTAGTGTAGTTCTCAGACTATAGGGGGTAAAAAATCCGTCACCTATCAACTGTTAATGTCGGGTGCAATAACTGTTGGATCCGGTTTTTTTTTCTTCAAAATAGTGCTAAGTGCTTTTGACAATGAAAGAGAGTTTTGAGGGACTTATTTGTGAAAAGCCCTATATGATATAAGTTATTTCTTAGTTCCAAGTGTATGGTTTTCTTTAAATATCTTGTGCTGACATTTGTAATTTTTGCAGACCTCTACGAGAACGTCGTTCGAGGAGTCCCCCTAGGAGGAGATACTAATGTGGCATGCATATTTCTGTCGTGAGGGGGCTTGGATTTTGAACAGTGGGTTGGATATTTTATCATTGAGTTACTAAAGATTTGGGTTGATGTGTAGAATTCACCTATTTTATGGATTCATCTCAATTTGGCCCGGAGCTCTCACCTTTTTTTCCCCTTATTGTATGCTTTCGAAGTGATTTCCCAGTTTAGTCATGGTTCTTATTAACATGAGTATGTTTCTCAAGCGTGATTACTTTTATCTGACTTTGAAGATGCTGCTAAGACCATAATTTTTGTAATTGTAATTTAGATTAACCTTAATTTATCATTTAAAGTTTTATTTTACTCGTTTCTTGTCCACCTCAATTGTTGTATGTTATGCTGATAATGTCATGTGGCTTTTGTTTTGGAACATTATAATATGATTATGAACTGTTGATGGGGAATATCTCATTCAATTGTTCTATGATATGTTGTAGAGTCTCTGCGGTTCTTGCTATAAGTAGGAGCAGCCAACCGTCTGGTGGTTGCTAACTTCACTAAGGAAAAGGTTCTTTGAGGAGTAAACTCATAGGAAGCAACATCAAGGAAGTCAAAATAAGAGTTATCTCGGGTACACAAGTGATGATCGTGTATATATTGTACCAAGGAGTAGCACTCCAAAGTCTTAAGAAGACTAAAACTGTGTTAGAAGAGGCTGGGCGAGGGTCAAGAACCATTAAATTCTTTCTCAGTAGAAAATGTCATAAATTCGAATCTCGCCTCCTTGTTGATTGCAAAAAAAATTAAAAATTGTCAAGACCCAATGTTCTTAGATGATGGTTATGGTGATGGCGGCAACAGAGCTGGTGATGCCGACAACAGTGGTGGTGCTAGAAGGTAGTGGGAGATGAGATGCATTTGGCAAGGTGGTTCGGTGGTGGAGACGGGGATGGTGCTAGTGGCAGAAAGGGTTGTGGGAGCGGGGTGATGTTTGGCTGCGCGGGGGAGGTTGGCTTGTCCTATATTTTTTTGTTTGAATCTCATTTTCTTTGATTTTAAAATAGCTACGAACTCAATGAAATTTTAAGGTTGGAATTTATGATATCTAAATTTCACATAATTTTTATATTTTCTTTTTAATGATCGAAATGATTTTAACTTGGAACAAATGAGCCAACGGTTTCATGGTTCAATGTTAAAAGCATTTGCCTGCAGATCAGTGGTTGGCTGTGTGGGGGAGGTTGGCTTGTCCTATATTTTTTTTGTTTGAATCTCATTTTCTTGGATTTTAAAATAGCTACGAACTCAATGAAATTTTAAGGTTGGAATTTATGATATCTAAATTTCACATAATTTTTATATTTTCTTTTTAATGATCGAAATGATTTTAACTTGGAACAAATGAGCCAACGGTTTCATGGTTCAATGTTAAAAGCATTTGCCTGCAGATCAGTGGTTGGCTGTGTGGGGGAGGTTGGCTTGTCCTATATTTTTTTTGTTTGAATCTCATTTTCTTGGATTTTAAAATAGCTACGAACTCAATGAAATTTTAAGGTTGGAATTTATGTTATCTAAATTTCACATAATTTTTATATTTTCTTTTTAATGATCGAAATGATTTTAACTTGGAACAAATGAGCCAACGGTTTCATGGTTCAATGTTAAAAGCATTTGCCTGCAGATCAGTGGTTGGCTGTGTGGGGGAGGTTGGCTTGTCATATATTTTTTTTGTTTGAATCTCATTTTCTTGGATTTTAAAATAGCTACGAACTCAATGAAATTTTAAGGTTGTAATTTATGATATCTAAATTTCACATAATTTCTATATTTTCTTTTCAATGATCGAAATGATTTTAACTTGGAACAAATGAGCCAACGGTTTCATGGCTCAATGGTAAAAGTGTTTAGTGGTCTCATATTCGAATCTCACCGGCCTCTCCCTTCCAAACTTTGAGCCAAAAAAAACTTGGAACAAATGCCAAGATTTTTGTGTTCAAATACCAAATGGGCCCATACCACCTAACAAAATTGATATTGATTATTTTTTCCAGATCTCAACTTTCCCTGAAATATTGATTTTTTTAATAAACTTTTTATGCCCTGAGTTGAATTTTCAAATCTAAATCCAAAAAGTGTTTTGGAATGTCCATCCGAACCTATAAGCCCACATGGTTTATTTTGGGAGTGTGATTAAAGAATGCACATGAATAAAAGCGAGTGATCTCACTGTTCCCCCTTTCTAATTTTTCTTTGTTTTTTTTCTTTTTCTTTTTTGGTTTGAGTTGCCCTTTCTACTCTCAAGCCAGGTTGAATCCCTTCTCCCACTTTGTCCATTTTTGTCTCTTTCTGTAAAGACAACAAAACCTCGAAATTAATATTTTTTAAGAAAGAGAGAGGAAATAATGAACGAGAGAGAAAGTAGAGAGAAAGTACTGAGAGAGAGAGAGAGGGTTGCTGCTGCTTGTGCAGGGTTTTTGTACTGTCATCAAAGTTGTGGTTCTAAAATTTGTAAAATAAAGAGGAGCAGCAAGAGCAGTAGCAGCATCTAAGCCCCCTTGAATTGATACTCTCTCTCTCTCTTCTTCTTCTTCTTCATCAAATCATCTTCAAAGTTCAAAACCCACTCCTTGTTAAGCTTACTCCTTGAGCTCATCGGAATAAATAAAGTTTCACCTACTCATTCATGCATTTGCTTCTCTATTTCTATAGCCTTACAATGATTACACTAAAATAATGATCTGCCCATTATTGCTTCTTTCTCTTTTTCTTTGAATTTTTATAAATTAACAAGGGCCAGCTTCACACTCCACTCTCCTCTCTCTCTCTCTCTCTCTCTCTCTCTAGGACACTCAAGTGTTTCTTTGTTTTTCTCTATGGATTCTTATGAAGCTACTAAGATAGTTTACTCAAGGATCCAAAGTTTGGATCCAGAAAATGCCTCAAAAATCATGGGGTTCCTTTTGATACAAGACCATGGTGACAAGGAGATGATACGCTTGGCATTTGGACCAGAGACTCTGCTGCACAATCTCATCATCAATGCCAAAACCCAACTAGGCCTTCTTCAGTCAAAACCCAACTCTGCTACACCTTCTTCTCCTTCAACCTTCAACCCCATCTCAAGGCCCAACCCTTTGTCCCTGTCCTCCCTATCTAATCCCTCCTCCCCATCTTCAAACCTTTGGAGCCTCAGCAATCCCATGAGCCCCAGCTCCACTTCTTCACCGTCTTATGCCAATATTGTTAGCAAAAATAGTAACCCTGGTTCTGTTTCTGGGTCTTTGTTGTCACCCACCATATCATCATCATCTTTATCTTCAGCCTACCATTCTTCTACCAGTGAACTTGCTGAAAAATACCAACTTCAGAGCCATCTTTCCTTCCTCAGTGATCCAAAGACTGATGATTTGTTTGATGGAAGCCAAAATGCTTACAGCAGTTCTTCACAGCAAAAGCATAGTTACTCTGTACCCAGCATGTGTTTTGGAGCTGAAGATGTAAATGCTGGGGTTGGATGGAAGCCATGCTTGTATTACTCAAGAGGGTTCTGTAAAAATGGAAGCAGCTGCCGTTTTCTCCACAGTGGCTCCATTAATGCTGATGGTGCCTCCATTGATGTTGGTTCTCCTAGCAATGTCAATGTACTTGAGCAGTGTCAAGAGTTACTCAGATCCAATGCTGCTGCCCAGCAGCAGAAACAACCCGCAGTCTCACATTTTATGGCTGGTGGTACTTCTTTTCCATACAACAAGTGCATGAATTTTCTTATGCAGCAACAAAATGACACTAAAAGGTATATGCTTGTAATTCTGCAAGAAAAAGTATTATGTTGTTTTTTGAATGAGTTTTGGTCTTGGTTTGGTGTGTTAATGGGGAATCTTTGGTTGCATTTTGATTTGTTTCAGGTCAGCGACATCTGCATTGATGATGGGAGATGAGCTTCACAAGTTTGGGAGATACCAATATGAGAGAAACGACATTTCAACTTTAACTTTGGGAGGAAATATTAATCACAGTTCCAGGCAGATCTACTTGACATTCCCAGCTGATAGTACATTTAGAGAAGAAGATGTCTCTAATTATTTTAGGTAAAATTACTGATCATTTTGTTTCTAGCAATCTTATGATGAAGTGTTTGACATTGAGGACTTGAACTAAAAGCATAGTTTCTTTGTATAATTATGTGGTTTTGAAGCATTTATGGACCAGTTCAAGATGTGAGGATTCCATACCAGCAAAAGAGGATGTTTGGATTTGTTACGTTTGTGTATTCAGAGACTGTGAAGATTATTCTGGCTAAAGGGAACCCTCATTTTGTCTGTGATTCGCGGGTGCTTGTGAAGCCTTACAAGGAGAAGGGGAAAATACCAGACAAGTAAATAGCAATTTTGAGTCTTCTGGTTTGTCTTGTTTTACAAATTTTGCCCTCCTTCCACATTGTTTATTTTTGCTTTGAATTACACATTTTCAGGAAGCAACAACACCAACAGTTGGAGAGGGGAGACTATCATATCTGCACAAGCCTGTCTGGGAATGATTCTAGGGAGCCTTCTGACCTCAATCTTGGTAAGAAAATAGGCAAACTAACTTTGTTCCTTTGATGGTGTGAAAAAATTCCTATATATTGAGGATTTGTTTTGATTTGATCTCTTTGTAGGATCAAGAATGTTTTACAATACCCATGAGATGTTAAGAAGGAAATTAGAGGAACAAGCTAATTTGCAGCAAGCCATTGAACTCCAAGAAAGAAGGCTTATGAACCTGCAACTTCTAGGCATCAAGAGTAACAATCATCATCATAATCAACATCAATACTATCATGGTCTTTCAGAAGGGTCTCCATTTCCCTCACCAACTTTATCTCATACACCCAAAAATCAATCCTTCATTGTTTCACCAAATGGGAATAAAGAAGAAGTCCTAGAAGGTTGGCTAATCATTATCTTCTGGAGTTCATGATGTAAAAAGAGAAGCTAATTCATGGTGGTTAAGTCATTTCTGTTTCATTTGTTGACATTGCATTTCTTGCAGAATTTGAAGGTAGTCTGGCCGAACAACTGCAGCAGGAGATGGTGAATCCAGCTTTCAATCTCATTGACCATGGCAGTGGGGATGACAATGGCAATGACTTTGACCTCCTTGAATGGTATTAAACTTTTATATATTCAGTCAGAATTATATATTTGGTCAGAATCAATTCAATTCTGAAATTAATGTGTTTTTTTGGTTTCAAATTTGGTTTCAAAAACAGTA